TGAGACATTGCGTGAACACAATCAGCACTTGTTTAAAACAACATGGAGACTGTGACACTTGGGTCAAACAAGAAGCAGATGAAAAAAATTTAACAGGAAAACTACAGAATGAGATGCCCCTTGTGACCCCTGAGTGAGACACTTTATTTGATAGCACACACAAAAGGACAAAATTGACACACATCTTGATGTGATGTCATAGGAAGTGTGAGGTACACCTGTTACAGGATAGCTGAAAACTAATTAGAATCTTATCAAGCCTCCAGAATCTGTTTGCAGGTAGTAATGGAGTTAGAACAATGTTAGACTGGAAGAGAAATTAAAATTTAAATAAAGCCCGCCAAGAATGCCAGCCAAAACCAGATGGACATGTCCAGAAAAGCCTGATAATGGGACATTTCTTCTTTTGTGTAACCCATGCTTGTTTAACTAATGACCTTGCAATGTAATTTGAGATGTTTAAACTCCCTTAGCAACCCATGATGTCACCAAACCGTTCAATCACAATGCACCAAATCTGCCTTTGTACCTCCCCACTTGTTCTCCCTGTAGAAGTCCCAAGACCGCCTCTGGGTAGAACTCTGACTCTTTGGGAGAGAGATCCCAGTCTGGCCCACCAGTGTAATAAACTGCCTCCTAAACCTTCTTGGTGCTGTTTCTTCCCATGTTTGGTCTGTTTTCTGCAACAATACCACACCAGGGTGTGATGAACAGAATCAGAAATGAGGTAAACTCATGATCCTACTTCTTCAACTAGTAAATACCAAAAAAAACTTAAAAGAGAGAGGAAATCTATAGATTTAAAGAAACTCTGAAAGTATCAGTTAGAATAAACTAGCTATTAAAAATGATCCTCTGGGGAAATTTTTTTTTTTTTATTTTAAAGAGAAAAAAAATTTCAAAACAAGATAATAGGAGGGTAACAATGGTTAATACATTGCGTATTGTTATCTTTAAATTAGTTACTCAGAGTACCAGATATCGGCATTTAATTGTCCAAACAATATTAGCACAAGCCTTTCTTTTCAATTAACTAAGAGAAATTAGTGTGACTATCTTTTATATATATATACACACACACACGTATATATATAATTTTTTTCTTTTGCCTTCTTCATTCCCCCATCCCAGTTTCTCTTTTCTTTTGAAGTTTCTTCCCACTTTACAATATCTGTTGTACATTTTGGATCTTACTTTTTCAGCTTCTCACATTAGGGAGACAATACGATGTTTACACTTGTGCATCTGGTTTATTTCACTTACGAGTATGGTCTTGAATTGTATCTATTTACCTATAAAAGTCTCAAGTTTATCTTTTTTTATGGATGAGTAGTACTCCATTGTATAAAAAGATCACATCTCTTTTATCCCTTCCTCCATTGGTGGGCATTTGGGTTGTTTCCAAGATCTAGCTATTACAAATTGTGGTGCTGTAAACATGGGTGCACCTATATTGCTGTGGTATGATGTTTTTAATTCTTCTGGGAAGAGACCCAGAAGGAATAGCTGGGTCAAATGGAACCTCCAATTCTAGTTCTGCTTTCATTGTGTCATAAGTTCTGGTATGTTGTAGTGTTGTTATCATTTAATTGTAGAAACTGTCTAATTTCTTCTTTAATTTCATCTGTGACCCATTGGTTGTTCAGGAAGGTGCTATTTAATTTCCATGTGTTTATGAAGTTCTTGTGGTTTCTTTTACCATTGATTTCCAATTTCGTTGCACTTTGGCTGATAATATGCATGAGATAATGTCAATTGCTTTGCATTTTAGCATGTTCTATGAGCTAGTTTGTGGTGTGTTTTGGAGAATGTCCTGTGTGTAGCTGAGAAGAATGTATATTCTGATGTTGTGGGGTAGAACACTCTGTAAACATCTACTCAGTCCATTTGTTCAAAAATTTGGTTCAGTTCTAATATTTACTTGTTGATTTTTTTGTCTAGTTGATCTGTCTTTTTGTGCCAGTGGGGTTGTGAGGTTCCCAATACAATTGTATTGCTTATTTGATTTTTCATGCCTGTTAGTATTTGTTTCATATAGTTGGGTGCACTGGTATTTGTTGCATATGTATTTCTAATTGTTATCTCTTCCTCTTGGATTGTTTGTTTTACAAGGATGCAGTGACCTTCTTTGGCTTGCTTAATCAGTCTTGACTTAAAATTCACTTTGTCTCCAAATAGAATCTCTAAATCTGCCTTTTTCTGGGTTCCTGTTGCCTGGAGTATTTTCCACCCATTGACTTTCAGACTGTGAATTTCTTTTTTAATTAAATGTGTTTCTTGTATGCAGTATATTGTTGGATCTTGCTTCTTGATCCATTCTGCCAGGCAGTGTCTTTTGATTGGTGAATTGAGACCATTAACATTGATGGTTATAACTGATATGTATTGACTTACCTTGTGTTGTTGTTTTCCTGTTGTTGGCTCCCCCTCTTGTTTTCCCTCCCTCTGTTTAATTGTTTGCTTTGCCTGGTGGATTACTTCTGTTGGGATTCATGAAGTTGACCTTGTTATCTCTTTCTAGAATGTCCTTCAAAGCATTTTGAGTGCTGGTTTGGTGGTCATAAATTTTCTCAGATGTTCTGTGTCTTGGAAGTATCTTATTTCTTCATCAGTTTTGAAAGATAGTTTTGTGGGGAACATCAGTCTGGGTTGAAGGTTGTTTTCCTTTAGAACTCTAAATACTTCACTGCAGACTCTCCTTGGCTTGAGGGTTTATGCTGAGAAGTAGCTGTAATTCTGATGGGCTTTCCTTTATTAGTCATTTGTTTCTTTTCCCTAACAGCTTTTAAGATTCTGTTCTTGTGTTGAATTTCTGGAATCTTGACTATGATATGCCTGGCTGTAGACTTTTTTTTATCATGGCTAATTGGACTTCTGTATGCATCACTTACCTATTTAGGGATTATCCCACCTCATTGCCTCCTGGGTTTGCCTTTGGTGATCTAGATGTCTGGGGTAGCATCTTGCTTAAGTGTCTTCTCATTTTCTTTTCTTTTCTTTCTTTTTTTTTTTTTAGTTTAATTCCTGGGGTGATGTTGGTAAATTGCCTGTGGTGGGTTGCTTTATTGCTAGTATTTAGAACCCTTAGGAAATGACTATTTTTCCGACTTATCTTCCAGGTGTAGTTTTTGGGTTTTGAGTCTGTTGCAAGATCCTACCTCTTCAATATGTTGGGGATGAGAAGGTGCTGCGTGTTTGGCCCAGACCCTGATTCTTTAGCACTGTGCCACAGTATTTGCTATGACCCTTAGTCAATCTCAGTCTTGGAATACCAAGAAGAACAGCTGTTTAGAACAATTATGTCACTTCTGGCTATAGTGGTACCAATGACAGTAGCATCAAAAACAACCTAGAAAATGACCAACTGAACTAACCAGTAATTTACCACTTTTGACCAGATGACCTGGATTTTGTGGTTATATAACAAAATCTAAAACAAACCAAAAAAAAAATCTAAAACAAACCAGAAAATTGTATGCAGTATACAAGTCCTTACTATATCCATTTTGCCCTCAGGGGTTAAAATTTAAAATGGCTTAGGGAGAAAATAGAGAAATGGAAGAAGAAGAAGAGATTAGAAGTAAGGCTGGAAGACAAAGGGAGAGAAGACTGGAGGGAAAGAGAAGGACGAACTGAAAAGCAGAACCACAACCACAAAGAGGCTAGAAACCACATTCACACTCATATAAAAACAGAATCAAGCAATGGAGAAAAAAAAAACAAAAAACGGAAACAAAACCACCACCACAACAACAAAATGAGAGACGGGGCAGGAGGGAGAGACAATAAAAATCCACTTCCAGGTTTGTCGCTGCTGTCACTGCTGGACAGTGTGTGGAGACAGTCCTGATCTGTGTTGATTTATCCCAGCAAGCCAGCTGTAGCTTTATGGCTGGGTAGTGGATAATCTCAGCAAGACCAGATTCACATGGCCTGCCACCATCTTCAAACCGGGCCTGAGCAAAGCTGGGCGCCTCTAGATGGGGCCAGTAGCTGCTCTTGGGTTCTGAGCACCACCAGCCCCTCTCCATCATGGTTTCCAGGCAATCGATCTCTCCAGCCAGTGCAGTCCTTCACATCCGCTGCTCCCTTCCTCTGCTGGTCTCTTGTGGAGGCCTCTGGGGTTGCCACACTCACCTTGTGTCCGCAGCTTTGGACCGTCCTCTGGCACACTGAGTCTCTTCTCAGGCAGAGAGCGCCCCCAGCGGCCTGCTTCTGCTTCATTGAAGTTTCTCTCTTCACCTTCGTGGGCTTCAGTTTGTGCCTCAGCTCCTTCTGGGTCCAGGGGACCCCTTCCCTTCATCTTCCCCACCTTGCTGTATTCCAACGTCTTGACACCAATTCTCAGAGAGGCTCTTTCTCCGCTGCTTACCACTCTGCCATCTTGGTCCTCTCCCTCTCGGGAAATTTAAACAACACAATTTGATAATGTGTTTATTAAAGAAATGTTGTTTTGCTATTAGAGGTACTCTGGATATGATTTTGAAAAACTTTTGAAATGCATACCGAAATGTTTGTGAAGAATTAATGTAATGCTTGAAATGTGCTTTAATGTAGGGGGAATGGTTAGGTTTAGATGAAACAGTATTTATTGGTCAAGTATTGACAATGGTTAAAACTAGATGCTGAGTACATAGGAGTTTGTAATACTCTGTTTATGTTATGCTGTTACGCTTTGATTCTAAATTTCTAAAAACTGCATAGTTTTTATATACAACTATTTAGTTTGTTATATATACAGCTGATGGGGGTGGTGTACTAGGGATTAAATTAGACCCTTCACACTGATCTATAGTCTCCAGCTCTTTTTATTTTTTATTTTTTATTTTCAGACAGGGTCTCGCTAAGTTGCCCAGGTTGGGCTGCAACTTACAAAACTCCTGCCTCGGCCTCTCAAATGCTGGGATTACAAGTGTGTGCCACCACACCAGGCAAAGAATGTTTATCATTTTGAGAAAACATTATATTTCCTTTCTTTAAGACTTCTTTTTCTTTTCCAGGAAGTTTCTTTAGGTTCTGTGAAAGCCATGCTTCCTCATCACTAAGGTTTACCAGGAAATCTGATTTGAAGAGAATGAATGGATTTTGCACCAAGCCACAGGAAAGTTACAAAGCTCCAACCAGTAAGTTCTTCATGATTTTCCGGTTACAGAGTAGGTGACTCCCAAAGAATGAGCCACCCTAGCAGCAGAAGAATCCGGAAGAGAGGGCATGGCAGGGCTCCTGCGGCGTCCCCGTCATGGAGTTCATGTCCCTCACATTGTGCTCCCCATGATTCTGCCCATGTGTCGTTTTGTTTCTTGCCTCCAGTCGGACTGTAGGTTTCTGTGTAGGTACAGATGCCCACAGCAACTCAGACCCTTATTGTCATCACTGTGTGGGAGGAGAGAGTGTGACGTGTTAACTGCAATTTGCCTGTTGTTTCTTCACGAAATTGCACCTAGGCAGGTCTTGAAGAGTGAACAGAGTGATCCCTAATGCATGTTTATCAAGAGCTTAAAAACACTTCCGCCCTTTGACATAGTGCTTCTGTCCCAGGATATCCTAAGGGATAATCAGTGTGTAGAGAAAGCTTGGAGTATAGTGCCATTTTTATGTATTTTGAAAATTAGAAATACTTAAAAATGTTAAATAATACAGAATGATTAATAATGTATGTTAGGTCTACTTGATGATATTATGTACCTATTGGAAATAGTGCTTCGAAGTATCATGTATGTCTTGGGTACTTTTCTCTCCTTGCTGAGACAAAATAGCCAACATTTGTTTAGGTTACAGTTTGTGGAGGTTTCGGTCCATAATCAGCAGGCTCCAGGGAAGGGTGGTAGAGTGGCAGGGCACAGGGGCAGCAGTTCAAGGCGGCAGAAGACAGCAAGAACAGCAAGAGCAAAAGGATGAGGGGGAGCACGTCTCCTTTCTTCCCTTATATTGTAAGCAGGCTACCCTGCCCCCAGGGTGGGAGTAGCACTCACACCATCTCCGCGCCCTCCTCTTGCACAGAGGCAGAAGATGTTTACAAAGTGAAGACCCTGGCCCTGCAGCTGAGTAGCTTAGTTAAACTTCTAAACTTCTCAAGTTGACACAGTGTATCAACCATTATAATGTACTTGTATAGGAAACATTACATTAATGAATAAACTATATCAAATGTTCTATATAAGCATAGGCATCATACATACACACGCACACGCATCCCTACATGCTCATGGGGATAAAACTGAGACCACTGCAATTAAAATATAGTGGTTGGCAGGCATGGTGCCACATGCCTGTAATCCCAGCACATGGGAGACTGAGACAGTAGGATGTCTGTGAATTCAAGTCCAGCTTGAACTACATAGTGAGATGTCTCAAAAAACAAAAATATATATGTAGATACTTTATATATTTATATATATATACATTTACACACACATATACGTATATAGTGGTTATGCTGTAAAAGAACTAGGGATGGCTAGAATTTTTCCTTTCTCATATGTGCTTTTCTGAAATATTCTTAATGGAAATGTAAAATTTTTTTAAACTATAAAGAATATTATGCCAAGTATTGGAAAGATGAGAAGAACTGTTTCTGTGCTTTTAAACTTCTTTTTCTGCTTTTGGTTCCTACTGTATCTTTTCCCTGATGACTTTTCTGTTCTTTTTTGCTGTCACTTTTCTGTGTGTGGTGTTTTGCATTACTGGGGTTAGCTACATCCCCAGCCCTTTTATTTTTATTTTTATTTTTTTTAATTTTTGACAAGGTTTTGCTAAGTTGCCCAACCTGGACTTAAGCTTGCAGTCCTTTTTTTTTTTTTTTTTTTTAATGTTTAAATTTTTGTTTGTTTGTTTGTTTGTTTTTGGTTTTTCTCCAGTACCGGGAACCGAACTCACGACCTTGCGCTTGCCAGGCAGGCGCTTTTGCC